CAGAGCAGAATTAACAGGGACAAATAAAGGTGCCAAAACCATGACAGCCTCCAGTACCAGCCCTGAAAATGGATGCACAGAGACATAAGGCTCCTGCTTCCTGAGAAATTCCTACTGGAGAACTGTTCACACTCATTTCCATCACTATGTTTCCCAGTGGCTCATTACTGTTGAGAGGAGGCCTACATTTCTTTTAACATCAAAATAATCATTTTCCCAAGCTGTATATATTGGGAAATAAAGAGTACACTCCTATTATATGAATGAACAATAGGGCCAATTTCTATAATTACTACTGCATACTTGTTGGAACATTTTTCTTGGAACCCAAGCATTTTGAGTATTGGCATTAAGGGAAATAATCAGTGTAATCATTATGTGATTAATGTAATGGTGGAACTGTGTTTAAGTTTGCATGCCTGTATTAAAGCAAAAAGTTCTATTTTAAAGCTCAATCTTGTTTGTAAGTTTAGTGATGATTAAGTCTAATAAGAAAAGCCACCAATTTACTCACAACAGACTTAACCGGTGTGTGAAATCATGGAAAGTCCACTTTAGTAGCACTACACAGGATCGGGCTAGCTCAGTGGTAAAACACAAGCCTTTGAAATCCTCCCCTTCTAGCCTTGTTTCTTACATTAAATCTACTATCAGGTTGTAGTGATCCAGACTCTCTTTATTGCTCAACTCTGCCTTCTCCTTTCTGTTTCTAGGACAACTGCTTAGCTTGAGGTCTTACTGCAGCACAAACATTTGGATGAAGGTGGTTTCAACAAAGGCAGGAACTGCATCTATTGTATTCACCCACAGTACTCTGAACAGCATTTATACCAAAACAAAGAAAAAACAACAACAACAAAGAACCAAAACCAGTGCCTTTAAGTTATAATTGCCAATGGGGTAAACTTACACAACAGGGCAGAATGGCCTCAGAGTTTCCAAAACTGTCAGGCTTTCCAAAAGCAGCCTGCCACATCTTTCCCAGGAGGATGGGCTCAAACCTCTGAGCTCCTGGTTAGCCTCTCTACCCGCTGTCCCACCATGAGACTGTATCAAATACCCAACAAACGCTTAATTCATGTTTTCTGACTATATGGACAAATAAATAAAGAGTTAACAGCTCACACGTGACACTAAGTCTTCTGTTTCTGAACGGTATTTTACATTTACAGATGTTCTATAAATATCTAATAGTGCTTTCTTTCACTCCCAACACCCGCTCAAGACAGATCCAAAAAGCACTATTGGCCTCGGTTTGTCAATAATGTAACTCAGGTTCAGAGAGGTGAAACGGTCTGCCTAATGCAGCTGCCGCACAGCTAACCGGTGGCTGTGCAAGGTCCTCACCACAACATCATAGCGGTTTTCTGTCTACTCCTGGGAAGGTTTGTGTTTTGACAGTGACTCAAATGAGTTCCTTCTCTGTGTAATGGGTCAAAGCAGATGATGAAGATCTGATGGTGATGACGGTCAGACATGAAGTGGAATACTGGACTAAGTGACTTTCAGTAAGGTTCCTTTCAATTCTGAGTGGAGACTTAGGACGACTCGGGCACGGATATGACTCTAAATGAGCTCCAGAGCTTCCGCCTAATGCCACACTTCTCTTCCTTCTGACCTAGCTCGTCAGCGCTATTCTCCAGTCCGCGACCGGCCACTGAATTCTTAAGTTTGACGTGCAGCCAAGGGTAGTACGGCAACTCTTCTTTCTAGAATAAAGATGTTTTCCATTCTATGTCTGAAGTTTTCTCAGCAAAAAGTTATGAATGAATTTACTTAAGTCTTCAGAGTCAACTCTCTATTTAGAGGTAATATGGGGCAGAAACAAGTTCATTAATACACAAAAAAAAGGCCAGCCCCCCCCGCCCCCAGAATGTCAGGGATATTCTACAGGACAACAGAGTCAATCACTGTAGTTAGGACCGGCAGGCAGGTGGGGAAAGGGAAAAGGATGGCTCTCTAGATTTGGAGACTCTTGAGTCTTAGGGCAAGACAATCAAATGTAACATCAACACTTCTGTCAAATGTCCTTAATCATTATCCTACCACTGAAAATTGAAGATACATGTTCCTTTTAGTGGATGGTGAACTACCAGGAAGTAGGCAGCTGTAGTCCAGCCAGCCTCCCATCAGGAGCACCACACCATGAGACTTCAACAGCAACAGGATACTTCTCACAGCCAAAGCGCTGCAGGCTGAGTATTAAGCTTGAGAGCATTTTCTAGAGTATCAAGAAGATGTAAGAATAGTTCCCTTGTAAATACTTGAGAGAGAGTAAAACAAAAAAAAAAGGATATATTTAGGAAGGTAAGCCTGCTTACATAGAAGAATCTTGTGTTGAAAACACCCATTCATTATGAAGGTTTCTTCAGAGTTAAGGAAACAGTTTGCAACACACATGGAAAAACTCAAGTAAAATAACATCTAGGACAGATATTGTGATGTTGGCAAAGAGTACTGAATATCTCACAGGCTGACAAAAGAACAATCTGATCCTGAAAGAAGTGCAACGTGAGGTCTCCTTAGAGGCAAAGACGGGGAAACTTCACCTCACTCACTGTAAGCATGTTATCAGAAGGAACTGGGGCTTCAAGAGCGACATCATGTTGGGAAAGGTAGAGGGTTGGGTAAACAGAAGACCCTCAAGAAGTGGAGTGACACAGTGACTGCCACAGCGGGCATGAGGATGACACGGAGCTCTGGTTCATGGGTCACTATGAGTTGTAGTCGACTTGGTGGCATTTAACAATAACAGGACAGATACAAATCTAGGGAAGAAGGAGTTTACTGTAAGCAAACAATCTAAAGAGAGCCAACGCTTTCAATGTCAAAGGTACCACTTGAAAATTCTAGTAAACTTTTAAAGTTAACTCTCAAGGCTCCCCTAGACAGCGTGCCTCTTCTGGAAGGAACACATGTGCAAAGAGGTGTGACTGAAAGTTCTCAGGGTGTTTTACTAGTACGAGTGAATGCACAGGCTCAAGGGTCATCTGACCAACAGCACCTTACTTCTTTCATGATAAGAGTTGTGTCTAAGAATTTGGCCCCTTATTTCAGATAAGAAATCTCTTCTGTGCAGTTAACTTCTTCAGAAAGCCTGCTAGAAAGCCCACTATGGGTTGGGTCCAACTCAATGGAACAACAACAACATATTTCACAAAAATTATTCCATATACATATTCTGTACTTCCTCATACAAAAACTGAGAGAAATTAGTCTCTTCCTATCACATTAAAGAGCTTTAATATTGTTGTTGTTATGAGCCGTCGAGTTGCTTGGGACTCACAGCGACCCTATGTACAACAGCCCTAAACTCTGCTCTGTCCTGTGCCAATCGCACCATCTCCGATACACCCATCCCGATTATCCCAGTCACTGAATCAATCCACCTCACAGAGGGTCTTCTTTTCCTGCGTTGTCCCTCCACCCTACCAAGCATGATGTCCCTCTCCAAGGATCGGTCCTTCCTTCCAACATGTCCAAAGCATGTTAGACAGAGCCTCAGAATCCTTGCCTCCAAGGAGCAGCCCGGTTTAACCCTTTCCAGGATGAATCTGTTTGTTTTCCTAACAGTCCATGGTACCCTCAATACTCTTCTCCAGCACCAAAGCTCAAAGGCATCAATTCTCCTTCTATCCTCCTTAGTCACTGTCCAACTCTCTGATGCATAACAAGTGATCGCAAAGACCATGGCCTGTATCAGACGCACCTTAGTCTCCAGAGAGACACCACTGCTCTTCAGTACTTTGGAGAGGTCCCTAACAGCAGACTTTCCCATGGCAATAGCATTTAAAAAAAAATATTATCTTCAGCTAATCATTATGTTCTGATGATATCTTGAGTTTAAATTCTTTGAAGGGGAAGTTCAAGTCAAAAAAAGATCAAGGACACTTCTCTGGATTAAGAACCAACACACAGCACCAGTGGGGCTATGGAGGCTGTATAAGTCACAGGAGCAGAGATGGCTCATGTTTCTGCCTCAAAGCAACAGGTGGATTCAAACCTCTTGACTTTGGGTTAGCAGCCAACTCTGTGGCCACTAGGCCACCAGACCTCCAGAAGGAAAATTGCTGTTATTGTTGTGTACCCTCAAGTTGGAACAGACCCATAAATGATCCTCCAGCAGGTTTTCAGAGGCAGTTAATTGCATGGGAGGCGACTGTCCATCCAGCTCCCACAGAGCAGCTGGTGGCCTAGAACTGCATGCCTTTGGGATTGCAGAGAAGCTTCTCGCCACTAGGCCATCAGAGCTCCCTAAAGGAAAATTAGGGAGTGGAAAAATTACTTCATGAAAATCTTACAGATTCCAGTGGTTCAATCTCTCTGTGTACAGGTCAACTTGAGAGCAGTTAGCAACAACAACAAAGAAATGTTACATGGCTCTAATGAGAAAAGAGAGGGATATAGTTTGTTTTTAAGTTTCCAAGTTGTAAGTGAAGATCTGTGAAGAGCTCCATCCTTCTAGAGAACAGATTCTTATTTCTAGGGTTTTCGGGGGGTGGGGGGGGTGTTAAGGTAGAAGTATGAACATAGATATAGCGTCTCTTGCTCTGCTATTATGGATTATTCTGCTGGAACGAAAATTAAAAAAGGAGAGACAGATATATATTATTTGCATTTGAGCTTTCTCTCTGAAAAAGGAGGGAACAGCATATAAAAGCTTTTGGATCTGTGTCAAAGGAGCAAGTTGTATTTTATAAGACTGGCAAGAAGCCAAAAAGCTAGCCCCCTCAACAAACTTTATTGCTAACATACTAAGCAGACCACATATGTCCTCAGCTGGAAGGCACTGGCAGGGCTTGGAACTTCTGAGAAGAGTGGGGATGTGGCTGCCAAGTCATACTGCTTAGTAACACTCCCAGACCAGAGTGGAGGGACTGGACTATGTTCTGAAGAATTTTCCACTCTGGGTTTTAATCAAAGGCCCATCCTCATCCACCCACCCCCAGGCAAAGACGAGAAACAAACAGAAAAGGAAATTATAGTGAGGAATGGTTTACCTTTGGAGAACACTTGAAATGCATACCGGGAACTGGGAGTGTAGTTACATACATTGTAATACACCGATACAGGTACAGCGTGCCAACTAGGCAGAAGAATCTTCTGCTAATAATAGACCTAGAAAAAGGGAAAGACAAGGCAGATTCTCAGTCAAACAATCCCACCGGTTCATTTAGGTTTTTATTGACCCAACAAAACAAACAAAAGACTATAAGAAAGCTTAAAATGAAAAGGTTCTTATTACGCAAGTGAAGAGGATTTTTGAGACTGTTTTAGGTTTTTTTTTTAAAAAAAAGTATTAAGTAGCCAAAGAGTTTTAAACACTATATTCCCACAAAATTAAGTTTCTTGAAACCATAAAACCAGGTTGACAGTCAAGTGAAGCACAAGCAGGGCCATTCTGATTGGTCACAGTTCGCTCAGTAAATGCTAAGAAAGGGTGGAAAAGGATGGAATACCTTTTAATGTCTTAAGAGGGAAGGTGCTAGAATGGAGTTAGACTTAGAATCCAAAACTTTTCTGCCATATAATGAGAAAAGATACTAAAAGTGTTTACTCATTTATCTTGGGGTCTGGGGATCCCAAAGCTGATTGATTCGTGATTCTGGGGACAGCCTTGTGTGTGGCAAACAGTCTTCCTGAGAAACTGCATCTCACCTCTCTCCAGTTCGGCCTTCCTTGCCTCCTGACAACGTACACACTACTGACTTTTTGAACCTTAGTCTCTTTAATCAGAAAACCAGGAACCAACTGAGTGCTAATGTATGAAGAAAAATCATAGCCCAAGACCAGGCACAAATGGTAGCTGTGCAATGTATGGGCTATGTATGTGGAAGAATCACAGAAAATCAGTGAGAATTAGAACTAGAAACACTTTCATGTTTATTAGTGGTTCTAAGAAATAATTAGGTATTGCACAGAGCCATGTATAGTGAGTTTGACAACTTCTAATATCAAATCCCATGTGAATTTGTACAAATATAGCCTCACTGAAGCCAATTCACGTCTTTGGACGAGAAGTTCTCCCCTCTCCTTCTCTGTTGCTCTACCATGGGCCAGGAAACTGGTTCTGTGAGGTTCTCCTCCCTCAATCATTTTAGGAGTTCAAGTTTACACTGACCCAGGACAAGCTAAGTTAAACAGACAAGGAAAAGTTACAAAGAGTCGACGCTTTTTCCTCCTACAATATTTAATTACTGCATGGTGCAGTTTTATTTTTATGCAGATTGGGCATTCTAACTGATAGTTTGGTGGAGCTAGAAAACTCCCATCTTTCTGAACAAGAATGACACAGAACTTATATAATTGTTGTTGCTGTTACGTGCCACTGAGTCGCCGGTGACCCATAGCAACCCTATGTACCGCAGCTCTGAACCCTGCCCTGGGCCTGAGCCAGTCTCACTAATTCCAACACACCAAAACCCACTGCCCCAGTTATTGTATCAATTAATCTCATCCAGGGTTTTCCTCTCCTGTAGTGTCCCTCCACCCTTCCGAGTATGATGTCCTTCTCCAAAGACTGGTCTCTCCTGGCCATCTACCCAAAGTATGTGAGGCAGAGCTTGAAAATCATAGCCTCCAAGGATAGACTTGGTTTCACCCTCTCCAAGACAAACCAATTTGTTTTACTGGCAGTTGATGGTATGTTCAAGACTCTTCTCCAGCACCACAACTCAAAGGAAATCAATTATTCTTCTGTCATCTTTAGTCACTGTCCAGCTCTCTGATGCATAGCAAGTAAATTGCAAAGACCATTGCCTAGATTAGGCATACCTTCGTCTCTAGACTGACATTGAGGTTGTTAACAATTACACCTTGCTCAGCTCCACAATCAACACTCTTAGCACCAGCAGTCAGAAAATCAAAAGACGAGTTGCACTGGGAAAATCGGATGTCAGAGACCTCTCCAGAGGACTAAAAAGCAACAATGTCAGTCTAGAGACTAAGGTGCACCTGATCCAGTCATGTGTAATTAAAAAGTCAATTTAAAAATAATTACAACTGCACAGCTCATACAAGTTATGTACAGGTATCTTGTCATTTTACCTACAGTCTGATACTGGCTCAGAATTGCTTCTCATACAAGCCTCTTTGCTTATTTCTCTTGATGAAATTGTTTGTGTATACCACTCACCTCCAAGGTAGCTTTGTTCTAAATAAGACAAGCATTCATTTAGAACAAAGCTACCTTGGAAAGGCTTGTATATACTTCCAAGATTTAAGTATCATGAAAAGCATAATGCAATTAAGCAAGATATGAAGGGAAGTATTAGAGTATCTTTACTAAGAAAAAGCAAAAGAAAATACTGCAGTCAGTTTTACACTGTCAGCTATAAAATCATAAATTTTCTTAAAAGGAAAACATGCTCCTTACCCACCTGGCTCAAGTATGTTTATTTGCAATTTCATCTCATACTCAGGACAGAAAAATGTCAAGTTTAAATCTGTTAAATTCTTTGGAAGAAGAAAATATAAGAGTGACTGCATCTATTCCTCAATTATGGTAAATATTACAATCTTAAAGTCACTTTGTTTGAGTGCTTCATGGCACTCAAAGAATGGACAGATGCACACACTTGGCATTTCCATATTTTAAATTACAGTCAGAGCTAAGTAGGAATGAACGGCTTCAGATTCCTCTAACAAAGTGCAAGAAAAGAATTACAAAGGATAAGAAAAATTATTCTACAAAAAATACTTTCAAAGTAAAAAATACTGAAGATTCTGCCACACTGACTATATGTAAGACGGCAAACCTTTCTTTACGTTTCAGATAATTTTATTTTTTCAAATTTTGTATTTATCAGGAATGACTGAAATAAAAACACAATTGAGTCCCATCATCATCATGGAAATGGCTTTAAGAGAAAAACTAAAAGGTGAATATTATTGTTTCCCATTTTCAACCAATCAGTAGTTGCCACTGATCAAAGACAGAAACACTCCCTCCACGGTCAACTTGATGTTATTACATCAGTGTTAATAGCAGACAATAAGTTAGAAGTGGTTGTTTGTAAGAATTTTCCCACTTTAGGCATTTACTTAAATCAACTTTGGAATATCTTCAACATACAGTATAAAAAAAGGACATTTACTGTGCAAAAGTTCAAAATGTGTGAAAAAGGAAAAGGTTAAACATGTAATGGTGCCAGAATAAAGACACTGAGGACACAGTCATGAGACAACACTGATTGCTAGGAGTTAAATGAACATCAAGAATACTATAATCATTAGTCACCAAGTAATAATGGTATTCTCAAAGAGGACACACTCTCCTTCAGGGTTAAAGTAGCCTGTTCTCTAATGTTTACACCTTCCAGTGTAAACACCTTCTAGCTTACAGAAATGTCTATCTGGTCATAGTTGTCTAATCTTTTCTAGAGTATCTAAGTGACAGATTCATAAACATCGTTTCTAAGAAAAACAAATAAAAAATCAGGAAAGAAAGAAAGAAATGTTCAAATAAAGTTTGATTATGAAGATCCAGAATATGGGCGCTCCGGTGGTCTAGCAGGAGGGAGCTGCGCTTCCATACCACAGGCAGCTAGTTAGAATCCACCATAGGATGCTCCACAGGAGAGAGATGAGCGATCTGCTACTGCATGATTTACTGCCTCTGAAAACCTGCAGGAGGGCCAGCTAGGAGTCAGTTCTGACTTGACAGTACTTAACAATGAATATTTTAGAAAAAGAACCCCACAACCACACCACAGCCACTGAGTTGGTTCCCACTCACACAAGTCCTCTACTGGGTATCCCAGACTAGAAATCTTCATAAGAAGAGAATATCATTTTTCCACAGACTATGGGAAACCACCAATCTTTCAGTTATTGTTTCTGTTAGGTGATGTCATGTATAACTAACAGTTACTCTATGAAAAACAGATCTGAACACTGTCGTACCTTGTGCATCCTAATAACTTCTGACATACTCAAGTCCACTGCAGTGCTGTATCATCCACGTGGCTGAGTCTTCCTCTCTTTAACCGACCCTCCACATTTCTAGGTTTGATGTCCCTTTCCAAAGACTAGCTTGTCCTAGGCAACACGTCCGAAGCATATCAGGTGAAGTCTTGTCATCTTTGTCTCCAAGGAGCTTTCTGGCTGTATTTCCACCCCCACACATTTCTGTTTGTCCTTCTGGTGGTCAGTAATATAATCAGTATTCTTCTCCAACAAAACATTTCAAAGGTTTCAATTCTTCTATCCTCTTTATTCACCATCCAGCTCTCAGGTGCATAGCAGGGGACTGGACAGACCATGGCTTGAATCAGGCACACCTAAGTCTTCAAACTGATACCACTGCCCCCCAGTACTTTGGAAAGCTCCTTGACAGACGACTTTTCCAATGTAATACCTCTTTTGATTTCCTGACTGCTGGTACCAAGAGTGTTAACTACGGATCCAAATAAGATGAAATTGTTGACAATTCCAATCTTTGTCTCCATTTATCATGATTTTGCCTATTAATCTAGTGGTGTGATATGATTAGGCAACCTATTTAGATACTAGTTTTACTTCTAACAATAACTTGCTTTGTGTCCTTCACTATTTAACTTCCTTTAGAAATGAATTAATTTCAATTGAAACAAACAAACAAAAGGATACCTCTTCTCTTAATAATCAGAAAAAGGGGTTTAAAAAAACCCTCAGAAAATACAAAACCTAACGTGTTCCCACCTCATCAATTCTGATTCACAGTGACCCTGTAGGAGCACACAACTGCCTCACAGGTTTCAAGGCTGTAACCAGCATGGAGGCGAACTCCACTTTCTTCTCCTGCGTGGTGGTGATGGGTGGGAGGGCTCAAATCACTGAACTCTCAGTAGCTCATGCTTAACCACTATTCCACCAGCCAGCCAAAGTCACTGCTGCGCAGCTGGAAACAACTCACAGCTGACCTTCCAGCAGGGTTTCAGAAGCTATAAACTGCATGGGAGGAGACTGCCATCTTTCTTCCAAGGAGCAGCTGGTGGATTAGAACCTCTTGCCGTTGGGCTGGCCACACAACTCCTTACCTAGCACAGCACCACTCAATAAATGAAAAGGCTACAAAACAGTGCAAAGAATGGACATCAGAATGATTATCACCTACAACTTTTGGAAGTATTTTTCTC